TGAAACTATGCTTCTAGATTTACCATGTTATTGTTATGGTATGTGCTGGTATCTAAGGGAAAAAAGAAGGAAGTTACGTATCCAGACAGGTGCATTGATGGTAAGTGCATCTGCAGCCTTAATTTGAGCAAGGAGGCTGCACAGTTGCAATATGAAAGACACAAACCCCTTGTGGTACTGTAGTACACAGGGATGCAGACTTCTCCATCATTTTCTAACGCAGCCTGTTCATGTTCCCAATTCAAATGATGGAAAAATAAAATTTAAATCCTGACTGAATGTATGTGTTAGAACTTTTCGTTTTCAAAGTGCATCTCCATCTTCCTTTCTGTTTTGACATATGCTTTTGTCAGTGCCAAATTCTGTATTTTCTATATTACATTTTTAAGATCCAGAAATTTGAGTGGCAGATAATTAACAGATACAAAGATGATTCAAGACAGGTTTACCCTGCATTGTCTTCTTTACAGAGATAATTTTTCAGTTGTCTTTTCAGCAGTATATTTTGGGGTCCTAAGAGGAAGATCATAGAAGGACATATGTTCTTAATCTGAAAGTACGGGTACATGACACTTGAAGAGGCATAGTGCTATTACAGCCATCATTCCATTGTACTTGCTGATTGATAAGTCTTAACATAGAATCATAGAATAGTTAGGGTTGGAAAGGACCTTAAGGTCATCTAGTTCCAACCCCCCTGCCATAAGCAGGGACACCACACACTAAACTATGTCACCCAAGGCTCTGTCCAGCCTGGCCTTGAACACCGCCAGGGTTGGAGCATTCACAACTTCCTTGGGCAACTTATTCCAGTGCCTCACCACCCTCACTGTGAAGAACTTTTCCTTATATCTAACCTAAACTTCCCCTGTTTAAGTTTAAAGCCATTTAACATGCTTCCTGCAAGGAGATGGCCTTTGCTTGGTGTGACAACATGCATCTGAAACAGAACAAATACAAAAGCAGCAGATGAAAGGTTAATCTAGAACTGTGTAACACACATTCATGTAAATGGTACCCAGTCTTTCTTTTTAACAACATGTGGTATATATTAGAAAAGTTTTACTTGTGTCTTTGTATTTGTATTTGTATTAAAATCACATTCCCCTTCATTATCAAATTAGAAGTTAGCCTTTCAGGGGAAATAGCTGCTAGCAAGTTGATTATTGTTTCATATAAATAATTAATGCTTAATATGATTGATATTGTTTTCTAATTAGGAATAATTAATTTGTCCTGGGATTTTAGTGGGGATATTTTTGGTGTTGGTTTAGATTGTTGGATTTTTTTGTTTTGTTTTGTGGGTTTTGGGGTTTGTTTATTTTGAAATACTATTTTTTTTATTCCAAGGATTCTGGGGAAATATGGGAAAATATTGTTTGGAGAATGGTAGTCTTGCAACTGATCTATCCCTATGGCAAAAAAAAAAATAAATCCACTTGAGTGCCAGGATCTTAATTGTGCTGTCTTAAGTCTAGTAAAAAGGTAGCCCTTTCCCCATTTCTTTGTCATAAAGTATTATGAGAGGTGTAATGAACTATGTATTCAGTCCTTTAAATAGTGTTTCAGTTGCATACTGTTTTTCTTGCACTACATTAGTAAATGAGAGTTACAGTTTAATAATCTGTTACTCCTTGTAGAATAAGCTAAGAAACGGATGCATAAAGCCCAGAAAATATATAGCTGAACCAACCCCTGAGAAAATGGAAACAGTTTTGAATTACTGATTTGTCCCCTTTTACTCGAGTTGGCTACTGAATTTCTTACCACTACTCATTGTGCAGGCAATGCTGCAAATGGTTGCATTTTGATACGGATTAGGGAGCTACAATAACTGTCAATTTATGTCCTAAGGTTTCGACTGCCATTAATTTCTTTCTCTGTTGTTCTTACCTCTGCTGAACTTTATAGATCTGACAAGTTTCATTAATAAAATGTGTGTGTGTGATCTTTCAGATTTTGAGCATGTTTTGAAAGATTTTATAAATTAATTGTTAAAGTAAATATAGAAACCTGCTCACATGTACCATTGATTTGCATATTTTCTACCAACAGACACTATTATTTTCCTAATGACTAAATCATTCATGTTGCAAGTTTATCAAAATACATGACTGCAAATGACAAATACTGTTTTTCTTATTTTAATCTCAAACATACAAATGCATCCTGAATGACACCTGAATGACAAAAGTCATGTTCTCTTCAATTTTGTTGGAAAACTGTCTTAAGCTAGAATAGCTTTTATTAAAATTTCATCAGTCTAACACATAAAATCACTTGACTGAATTAACACTTCAGTTAACAGTTCATTGATTTTGTTCCAGTATTTGAGTATGGCAGTGGTAGAGCCTTTGTCAGTTTTCAATTTACTTTCATTTTTTTTTAGACAGGACTGTCATTGTAAATCAGTTTGAAGATGAAATTAGTAACAGACTCCCTAACAGTACTTCCTTCTGTAGTAATGACATGTTCTAATTGCTTATAATATAGTGATTCTTGATGATATGGAGTGCAGGGACAGAAAACATACTCCAGAAAAAAAAATGTTCAGCTATAGAAAATTCCCTGTAAAGTCTTCAGGGGACTTTTCTTTCTCAAAAGATTGACATTTTGATTGACATATCATTGCTTCATTCCTAGATGCACCACTCAGAAGTGCCCTCAAAGTTTTAGGAGGTTAGCCTGTAAAGTAGTTGAGCTCTTAAAACCTATTAAAAATTGAATTTGCCAGTACTCCTAAGATGTTAATCTTTTCTTATATCAGAATCCATCATGGAAAATAAATGAGAACCTTCGATCTTTTTGAAATTTGGCAGTGTATTCACCATATATTACTGGCAGATAACAACTTCATCTCTTACAGCTGCTTACATTACTTTTTAAAGGATCTCGTTGTTAATTGCTTGGAACTTTGCCAAGCTGTAACAGGTTGGGCTGGAATTTTCCACTTAAAGAAAAGCACAGTATGAATTCTTCATTTCCTGTATGCTAAATGCAGCAGGGGCCTGTGGGAAAAGTATGAAAATAATTAAACATTCTGCCACAAAGCATACAGCTAAGGAGGGGATTTGAGGGCAGCATATAGCTTGACTTCTGGCTTCTTCCATCCTTTCTACACTTGACTTGATGACTTTGTTTTTCACATAACAAGGTATAATATTATGTCACTTATTTGTGAGTGCTGACATAGGGAAAAAATACATGTGACACTGATACCCCTGGATGTGATTGTCGGAGGAGGGTGCTCATGTTTTTCTGGGATTTATTTCCTGTCTGGGTTTTGTTTTGCTTTGTTTTGTTTAATTTGACCTCTCTTTTTGGGGGAATTGTTGTTTTTAGTTTGGCCCTAACCAGCAGTAGAATGACTTGAGTACTTACAGGACTGAAACATCATCTACTTCTGTATATGTAATCAGATATCCAAGACCAGTGCATGAGTACAGAGTGTTCTGTAGATCTTTGAATCAGAAATCCTTGTCTGCTAGATTTACAGGCCTACACCCCTTCCTGGAAAAACTGTATTTGCTCATAAAAATCATGGTGGCTTCCCTTAGCCTGGGCTCAGTGTGACTTCTGACTCTACATCAGACTTATTTTGTCTTTAGTCTGTGGTTTCATCATTTTGAATGCACTGCACTCTAAGTCCTGAAACCAGACTAATGAGCCACATTTTGCCTGGGATCCCTATTCTCTCATGTCTTAGATAGGAAAAAAAATCTATCTAGCCTTGTCCATTTTTCTTTCATCAAGAAAATCCTTCATAGTTCCTCCCATGGTAAGAGTTCCTTCCATTTTACTTTGAGCATGTAGGTGGCACCTTTTGCTTTGATTATTTTGGGGTGTGGTAGTTGGCTTCAAACTTTAATAAAGAACACTCATCCTTCTCTCTCTCCCTGATGCCCTCACAGCTATTAATTTCCAGGTAATGCAGAACTGGGGGCAGTGGCTCACCTGGAGCAAGCCTTAGCCAACCTCTACTTGGGTCCTCCAAGGATGGCACTGGGTAAACTGTGATTTCATGATTTTGGGAAGATACTTAATCATTTATTTGGAGTGAATCAGCTGGTGAGATGATGAAATCCTGACTCTCCTGAGTCTGTCATTGGCTTGGGCAAGGGCACATTTATATCTAGAGCCCTAGTGAAAGAGCTGTGTAAACGCAGGTTTTGAATCTGAAAGTCACTGTTCTTCACCATTACATACTTGTTTGATGTTGCTTATTTTCAACCTTTCCTTCTTGGAGAAAGAGCCTGTCTTTCTCTGTATGTCAAATTCTTTCTCAGAAAATTCAAGTCTACAATTATCTGTACAACAGTGTGTGGCTTTCTGACATCTCATTCATCTGTTGTTCTTCAACATTGCCTGTCTCAGCCTCTCACAGTAAAGGATTTCACTTTGAAAAATGTCCAGTTTCGGTCATTTCATATGCGACTTCTAAAGACTAGCAATTTTAAAATTATGAATGCCATATTCTAATTTAAACTAATTGTGGCAGATGACCTAATTTTACTACATTAAGAGATTTATAATCTTTTTTTAATGTCCCTCCCTCCAATATAGTTTCAGGACTGTTTTCTTAACCTTTCCTAGCTTAAAAAAATCTAGGTTCTTAATGTATTATGATTAAATGCAACCATGTTCCGTACTCTCCCTGCCATTCCATGCTGTGCAATGGAGACTGATGGAAAAGAAGTAACTTTTCTAAAGTAGAGGTGATAAAACTTCTGTTGCTTTGAAACTTTTGACTGAAACTTAGCAGCTGGAGATCTCTTTTGCAAATCTTTTCCAACAAGACTTTCATCTCAACTATGCTTTTTCAGCCCTAATAAGGCAATTACTCAATCTCCTCACTCAAGTCTCTGTAAGGCTTTTTTTTATCTCTGTGTGTGTCATTGTAGGTGTTCAAAGCACTTTACCCTTTTCAAATTAGAAATTACGAAAGCCTTGAGAAACTTTGGACGTTCTCACTAGCGTTTGTCATTTGTTTTACCCTCCAGGAGAAGCCTACATGAGAATGAGCCGTCTGCCAGAAGCAGAACACTGGTACATGGAGTCACTGCGATCCAAGAGTGACCACATCCCAGCCCATCTCACCTATGGAAAACTACTGGCTCTGACGGTGAGTTAATCAGCAGCTCCTAGGAGCTGATCCCAGGCCCTTCGAGCAGGTGAGGTAGAAGGATGGGAAGACTTTGGTCTGAGAATTGTTTATGGCCTATTTATCATGTCATTTCAGTCATGCCTTCTAATTAGGGATTTTGACAGTGTCATTTTTTTGTGAAACATTGCATCCATTCCTGAAGTATCACCACCTCTGTGCTGTAAGAAAACAGTTATAATAAAGCAGGAACTTTGCTTTCTTTGCTTGAAAAAGCCTTTATTGTAAGTAGTTTAGGTCACAAATTATGATATTAATACAAAAAGATACTTAGTGTACTGCCCAGGATTGTTGTAGCAGCCTATGACAGAGCTAGGGATGTCACCTATACTTTATGAATTACATGTCTCGTGCTTTGAATTTACTAACTTCTTTAGGACTATCTCTTTGAGAGTGTGAAAAGAACTACTCAACTACTAAATCAGAAGAATTGGACTCTTTCATTTCCTTAAAATCTACTTTACCTTTTGAGTAACATAACAAAGCAACATGTTGATGACAAAGTAATTAGAGATTACAGAAAATTTTTCAGGTGGTTATTTCATTCATGAAAAAAAGAGTTCATTAATCTTTGATCTATTGAAATTTGGCATTTATTTCATTTAAGTCTTTCAGCTACAAAGTCTGAAAAGACATTGAATGGGAAAATGGATGATGAAGAGATTTGGCAGTAGAATATGGATTTTTGTCTCCATGTTGGGGATAGATGAGGCTTTGAGCAACCTGGTCTAATGGAAGATGTCCCTGCCCATGGCAGAGGGGTTGGAACTAGATGATCTTTAAGGTCCCTTCCAGCCCAAACCATTCTATGATTCTGTTTTGCAACCTACTACCTGCTCAGTGATTCATATTAAATTAATTTTGTCTAGTTTGTAATATACCGAACTGTACTAGTATTATTTCCCATTGCAAATATATGATTGCTGTAACTGACATGCTTCCTGGAAGCTTACATAGACTTCCTTGGGATGCGGTAGCATTAGAGCTACAACCTTTGGCATAGTTGATTCAGCCCATACCTAATTTGAGGTACCACTGTGGTTTATTCTTCTGTTGAACTTTGCTATCATCTAGGCTCATGATCATTTTCTCACAGCCTGCATATTTAGAAGAGAGAAAAGCCTACTTCAGTTAGGTTTCAGCTGTTAGAGGAAGGATGTTGTAGAGGCTTCTTTCCCCCCACCTGTTGAACCAAACCTTCAGATTTGTTGCAGTCCTGTTTCTGAATGTAAGTGCTAAGACACAACCATTGGTAACACTTTTTTCCAGGAGAGTTCTATGAGATGGATGATGAAGTGATGGGTGGAAGTGGGTGCTAATATAGATAGAAAACTTTTCTCTGTCAGTGAAATTGTGGGGTGAGCGAGGAGAGCAGGTGGTTTCAGACAAGTTCCTAAGTTCCAGCCAAAGGCAATTCTAGTATAAACCCCCCTAGCAGTAAAGTCAAACCTGTAAAGTTCACAAATTCAGCTACATTTTACTTCCTGACTTAAATTCCAATGAAGTGGCTTAATTTTAACCCCAGCTTTTCTGCATCCTCAAGTTTCTTGCCAGTATTAATGCTTACTGAAAGCAGAATGACATAGAATAATAGAATCATTGAGGTTGGAAAAGACCTGTAAGATCATCAAGTCCAGCTGTTAAACTAACACTTCAAGTTCTTCACTAAACCGTGTCCCTAAGCACTGTGTCTACACATCCTTTAAATACCTCCAGGGATGGTAACTCCACTTCCTTGGGTAGCCTACTGTGATGCTTGAGAAATCTTTCAGTGAAGAAATTTTTTCTCACATCTAATCTAAACCTCCCCTTGCGCTACTTGAGGCCATTTTCTCTTGTCCTATCACTTGTTACTTGGGAAAAGAGATCAACACCCACCTCCATACAACATCCATCTTGCTACAACCTCCTTTCAGGTGGTTTCAGAAAGTGGTAAGGTCTCCCATGAGCCTCCTTTTCTCCAGGCTAAACACCCCTAGTTCCCTCAGCCACTCCTTGTAAGACTTGTTCTCTAGACACTTCACCAGCTTTGTTCCCCTTTTAAGGCACGCTCCAGCACCTTAATGTCTGTCTTGTAGTGAGAGGCCCAGAGCTGAACACAGTGCCAAGTACAGGGGGACAATCACTGCCTCAGTCCTGCGGTGACGCTAGTTCTGATACAAGCCAGGATGCTGTTGGCCCAGGTCCTTTTCCACGAAGCAGCTTTCCAGCCACTCTTCCCCAGGCCTGTAGCACTGCATGGGGTTGTTGTGACCGAAGTGCAGGACCTGGCACTTTGCCTTGTTGAACCTTATACCATTGATCACAGCCCATTGATTCAGCCTGTCCAGATTCCTTTGTAAAGCCTTCCTACCCTCAAGCAGATCAACAGTTCTGCTCAACTTGGTGTCATCTGCAAACTTACTGAAGGTGCACTCAATCTCCTCAATGAAATAATTGATAAAGATATTACTGATAAAGATAGCACTGAGCCCTGGGGAACACCACTTGTGATTGGGTGCCAACTAAATTTAACTCCATTCACCAAATTTAATCCCTTAGTGCTAGTCTGGATACCTGGAGCACCTTCTTATATCTTCTGTTTTCTTTGCCTTCTCATAAGGAACAGTGAGGGGGACCTGTGCCCAGAGTGTAGATTAGAGATGTGCAAAATTGCTTGCTCATTCCAGCACGCTATCCTTTCCCACCTTTCAGCAAAGGCTTTTCAGAGGGCCCAGAACTGCACACAGTATTCAAGATGAGGTGGTGCCAATGCTGAATAAAACACACTCCGTAAAAGCACATTTCTAAGTTATTTAAAATCATAGAATCATAGAATAGTTAGGGTTGGAAAGGACCTTAAGATCATCTAGTTCCACCCCCCCTGCCATGAGCAGGGACACCACACACTAAACTGTGTCGCCCAAGGCTCTGTCCAGCCTGGCCTTGAACACCTCCAGGGTTGGAGCATTCACAGCTTCCTTGGGCAACCTATTCCAGTGCCTCACCGCCCTCACTGTGAAGAACTTCTTCCTCATATCTAATCTAAACTTCCCCTGTTTAAGTTTAAAGCCATTCCCCCTTGTCCTACCACTAGAGTCCCTAATGAAGAGTCCCTCCCCAGCATCCTTGTAGGCCCCCTTCAGATATTTCCCAGGCTGAAAAGCCTCGCCTTTCTCAGCCTGTCTTCATACGGGAAATGC